TCAAATTTCAATTATACTTTTCTAAAATATGCACAACATCTTTTGAGTTCTCTTCATCCTCTTCCTTACTTACAACTTAATAAACATTACAATAATTACAACCTAAAAAATTAGCCAGATACATATATTTACCAGATAATAATATTATGTATAATAATATGTTTTAAAATTCAATATTATTATCAATAATTTAACTCTTAATCTACTCAGTCTATTATTTGGAATTTTATATAATTTTTTTTTTTAACTGACACTATTTTAGTCATTTTTGACAGTTGTGCATTCTAATGAACAATAATCCACTCTTATAATAAATTTCTAAATACTGATATGCAGGACTCACAGGAAATTATATAATGAGATCCTAAACATGAGCTAGTTCGACATTGGTTAATATTATCAACAACTTCTATTCAATTAATTATCTTCAAATACTTTATTTTTTAGGAATATTTGTCGGCATTTGGGTACTTGGAAACAGCTTTGCAGTATAACCCTAAATTAGCTCATAAACTTACAAACAAAGTTTATAGAAATGCGCTAATTGAATTTCAAATATTTCTAGACATACCTCCTACTGGTAAGTCAATATGTCAAAAAATTTATGACAAAATTCATTCAAAATTAAAATATTAAACTTTTATGTTTTTCAATTTTATATGTGAAATTTAGGTGGATCTAGAGGGTCTTAACTACCTCAAACTCTGTGTCTAATAAGCAAGGCTTAATATCAATTTAAATCGTAAATCAGTGATAACATTTTAAAAATATAAATATAACTATATCAATAACGTATGGATAACAATAAAACTAAAAAATAAGAAAAATATATGTAAATAACGTTCTAATAATTAAACCCCGTTTTAACATTTTTATTGCGTTTAAACATATTATAAGTCATTTTATAAATGACGTTTATATTAAAATGTTATTTATTTATTCATTTTATTTATACACTATAAATAAAAAAAAACATTCAAATTCTAATTCCATTCAAATTGTTATTAATAATTTATTTTTAGGTATTTTAGACAAAGAAACTCTAAAAGCTTTAAATACTCAAAGATGTGGTTGCATTGATAGATTTTATAGGGTCAAACAAGATCGATTTAAAAGATATGTCAGACTACGTAAGTATTAAAAAATATAAAATCAAATACTCGAATAATTGAGTGTGAATTCAATTGTATTATTTAGTGAACTTTATAATAAAATTTTATTTATATAATTAAATGCAGGTCTTAAACAATTTCAATATTTCTAATTCTGCTTACATTTTTTATTTTAATTCTATATCAAATACTTGAGTTATTTTTAAATTATACTTAAGGAACAAATACATATACATCTTTTAATATCAAACAATAAAATTATAGTTTTTTAACGAAAAATTTCATAATATCATTTGACAAAAGTAGCATATGTTATGAAATTTTATGTTATTAGTGAAATTTAACAATTTTTTATTCAAATAGAACATGTTATAGTCATTATGATTACATCATATTAATATGACGTTCCACCAATCGGTGTTATTGAAGATGATGGCGGATAGACACTGCGGCGGCTTTGAAATAATAGTGATTACAGTACTACTTTGCCAGGCGACGTTAAATAGTAGTGACTCCCAATCGGTTATGATAGTAGACGTTTATTATATAACGATAGTGTATCGGTAGCGGCAGCTTTTGGTTAATGAGGATTGCTACCAACGCCACCTTAGTACACAATGATGACTTGCCACGGTGCTGACCGTTAGCAATTAGTTACCCGTGCCGTAGAATTGGTGATGCTGTGTCCCGTAACAAAGTGAAAAGTTGCAATCGATGATAACTACAGAAAATAGCTGAAAATTCTGGTTAGGTGGTTGGCGGATGCCTTAAAATGCTGAGTAAAGAAAATAAGGTAGTTATAACCTTAGTCACCACTCAAATAAGCGCCTCTCTATCAATCCAGCACAGATATACAAAATGCGGACCCATTGAGAACCTTGTATAACAATCACGTTAAAACACGCTGATCACAACACAGATATGGAATCATAAAGTAGATGAAGGAAATAAATGAATGAATCTGGATCGAGCAGCGGCGCTCAGCTGGAGACAGTAATGAAAAGTCGAAGAACTAACCGATGCTGAATCATCAGCGGAAGATCGAAGACGGAAGCCATCTGGACGGGCTATAGATGACGTCTTGATACATTAAGTGGAAAAAGAAAGAATGTAGTACCCTAGTGTAGGCAAAAAGTATACTATACGATAGACACGCTATGGAGGATAACTGCATCACAGATATGTTGAACCGTGAAGGTTGTTTTGGCATTGATAATTTAGTAGGACCATTCTTTTCATTGTTCAATTATTTTATAAATATGTAAAAAGAATCTTGAAGAAAATAATCAGTGTTCTTGATGAATTGTAAGCGTTTTATCTTGTCTTCCGTGTACGTTTGAGTATTGAATCTGTTTTTTCTTTTATGNCTTGATGAATTGTAAGCGTTTTATCTTGTCTTCCGTGTACGTTTGAGTATTGAATCTGTTTTTTCTTTTATGAAATCTTATTATTTAATTTATCATTTGATGTTCATATGCTTTATAATGGGATTGTTAAAATTATTTGAATACCGTTATATAAA